GGGTTGGGGGGTGGGGTTGGGGGGGGGGGGGGGGGCTGAAGTTGTGATAAGCCAATTAGTAATAGGCCTTTTCTCGGAAAGTCGGTATCTCCAGTTGGCATGAAATAGGTCGATAGTGATCTCGGCTCACGTCGGAATCAACATCGCGAAGGGAAAGGCTCACCTCAGGGTGCGTATCTCGTCCTCGCATCGGCAATGTTTTCCGTATTGGAGTGGCGGTAGTCGTAGCGCTGATTGTGGCGGCGGTGGGCCTTTTATGCGCGAAGCGTCACGCTTCGCTTTTATACGAGGGCGAGACACAATCGGGAGAATCAGCGACCTCCTATCGACGCGCAATCGCTCTTGGGAGAAAAAAAAATGGCAGAGACGCGGAAGGATGTTCTTATATTGGTTCGAGCTTGGGCATTAAGTATCCTTTAGGTGCAGATTGATTGGTTTTGCAATGCATTTTATACCGCGTCCGTGTTCTTATCCTCATAAAACTTGGCTACTTCTGACCTTTACCTCACTTTCGTACCTTTAACAACGCTCTAAAGGCTTCTGCCGGTACGCGATAATCGCGCGTCATTTTGCCTTTATCTTTACAACGCTTCGACAACTTGTTGATAAGATATTAAATTTTAATTAGTATATTTGATGATATGTCGCATTTTATAAACGATCGAATATCTTTATGGTTTCGGTTAAGAATGAGCTGCATTTCCGACAGATAACTGCAGTCCACGGCGACGTGTCGATCATATTATGAGCCCTAACAGCTGAAGCATCGCGTTTCCTGTGTCGGAGGTGTCGACGATTTTCCCGCTTCAATGCTGCAATGCTCGTCGACGCAAACGTACTCTCGAGGTCTGTGACGCACTCGAAACCATTGTAAATTAGGAACGCGCATTGTTTTCTTTGTCGTTCGATTTCCTATGGCCGTAAATCCTCGGCTACCCGATCGCAATGGTTGAGAAGCTTTGCAGGCGCCGCCACGAATCGACGGTTTTTTTTTTTCTCTCCTCGTTTCATTTGGTCGCTTTGCGCCTCGCAATTAGCCGGCTCCCGAGCACGAGCTTCGGCAAAATCGTTACTTGCTTATTCAAGGCGAGTCGCGTCGATTATCGGACGCACGCGCGCTGAAAATTACCCGGTTGGTTAAATATACTTCCAAATTGACATATATGGCGGCGACGTGTTGACGAATTGAACGGCACATTATATTACGAAATGACATATTTCTCGTTATAAAGTGCCACCGCGCGATCTTGTGCCTTGATTTTTAACTCACAGTTATATTGGGATATATTTTTATTGGAAATGATCGGGAGCAGATACAATAATACGGGCTTTTCCGCTTAGACTGTTACCGAGAAATAATATTATAAAGCCACTTGAGGAAAAAGCCCCTTGCAAACGGCCCTCGGTGTCTACTTACTTGCCGAGGCAAGAAAATTATATACTTTTAATTCGCGAGTACCGAGCGCAGCCTTTGTTTATTTGAAAGTCATTTTCGATATCTTCCACAAGCCCTAACTACAGGCAACGAGTTTACGACAGCGACTAGAAGCCGCAAATAAAGAATAAAACGAGGCGTGCGCGCAGCGTAAATCTCGGGATATTCGATCAGGTTATGTTTGTTCGCGGATCGGGCATCAGAAGTCTAATGAAGAAAGGGAGGAAAAGCGAGAGATGCGCCGAGCTTTGAAATCATCCACGGTGCATCAACAGTTCGCGAGGAGAGAGCACGAGCGCCCAATGTACGAGAGAGAGAGAGAGAGAGAGAGAATGAGCGAGCGAGTAAGTGAGTAAGACCCTCTGGTCACGATCCAGAATTGTGCACGAGAAGCATGAGGTCGACCTCGTCCCGGGATACCTCTTGTTCTTCCTTTCTGGTATATATAGTGGCTAGTGGTTGGTACCCTGAAATTCCATTGCAATAGCAAGGAGCTTCTTTTTATTCCCAATGCTCCTTTATAGTTTTAACCCTCAAGGATGCACACACGAAAGTGCGCTCGCTTTGAAATCTTGCTCGCCTTTACCATGTATTTACTCTACATTCTATTAAATCTTATTTTACATTTTCGATATTTCTACGTCTCCCCGTCTCTTAATTTTTTTCATATTGAAATCTCGTCAAACATATAAAAATATATATCGACAGATGACGATCTTGAATTAAATGAATACTATTCGTATTGCTTTATATAATCAATTGGCCTGTATTGGTGTTATTTTTATTGTACCGGATTATTAGAATTATTGACAAATTAGCGTTTTTATCGATGATCAGTAGTGTAGAAGTTAAATGAAAATATTTTCTAATATATTTTATAATTAATAAGTAATATCTATAAATATCGAGAAATAATAATAATTATTATATTGTGGCTAGTTTAAATGATAATTGTCTGAATATTTAAATTTAGATTTAATGCTGAATTACCATGTGTTTATTTATATACATGTGGGTACATGTGCGTGTGTAGTGTGTATAGTGTGAATAATAATTTATTTTATTCTGAATAATATAAAAATATTACTGAATTTCTCTTATTATTTGGTTTAACTTTTGTTAAGCTTCTCGCATCATAACATACCGCCTCGAGCTATTTTCTTTTTGCTTTAAAAGCCTTCGTCGTGCAACTTCTTCGTGGCTTTTCTCAACTTGGAGACGGTGAGGTAAAAGATAGCGAACCCGGGAGGTCCAATGAAGTCACGAGTTCTTTATCACGATTCGGATTCGTGCAAAATCGATCCTTTCTTCCCTTCAACAGTGAATGGGAAAAAATTTTGTTTTTCTTTTTTATAATCCAGCAACTGTATAGATACAGCAAATGCACACACACACATATACTAATATACAATGAAATCGAAGAAAGCGTGCTTAATTAAAATGAACTATCATGGTACATTTGTTATTTCACGTTTTACTTTGTGTTGTTGCAAATCATTTGGCTGAGAGAAATTGGAATTGTCTGTTGTTACTTTTATTCTGTTTTATGATTTCTCTAATGGATAAGGTAAATGGTACGTATTAACCGGATTAGTGAAATTTTATATATTTTTTTGAATAGAGAGAGTTTTTCGAATGCAAATGAATATATATATATATATATATATATATATATATCTATAGATATGTAGAATAATAGGAACATTTTTGTATGAGACGTAAAAATGTATTTCCATTTTCGAATTTTCATGCACTAAATAGAAAACAGTTCTCAAAGAGAGTTTTAATCTGAAAACATTATTTATGATCTTCTTCGTGAGTCATATCACGTTCGATACTTATATCATTACATAACTTCTTTAAACAAAATTTATGTATGCTGTTTCCATTACAATACATTCAATTTAAGGGTTGATTATTTTAGATTTCACAGAAATGTAAATTATAGCATTATTCGGAATTCATTGTGTTTGCCTAGGAATTATAATATTACACAACAATATGAAATTGTAACACATAGGTCAAAAGAAAAAAACCAGTTACCTGCATTACTCGAATGTAATTTAAAAACAAAATAAGTAGTTCTAAACGTTGCGAGCAAAAAATATTCAGAAAAAAAAATGAGAATACTAGTTTTCTACAAGTACCTACTCTAATATGAATTATGAATAATATTACTTTGAATATTTATTCACAATTGTCCCAGCTATGATAAAATATTTTACAGTCACTTATAGTTATTGTCACAATGTGAAAGTGGCACTTGTGAGATATACGTGAATTGAAATTGACGTTTATAAAGACAGTGGCTATAACTGTGAATTATAAGAGAAAAGCAATAAGCCACAATCAATATTATTTAGATCAATTCAATATCACAATAATGTGTGCAAGAATGAGTAAAGCAGTTTATGAAATAAGAAAAAGGCAATTAAGTAGCGGCGGGATGGTGGGTGGGAGGGAGGGAGGGTCAAGGTAAGAGAGAGAGAGAGAGAGAGAGAGAGAGAGAGAGAGAGATTGAGCGATAAGAGGAAGAGATGGTAGAAGTAGAAGAGGTTCGAACAGTCGTTTGATATACACGTACATGAATTTTCGGATTGTTCCGTTTTGTGGAAACAATCAGCGGCTCAGTTGCTCGAACAAGGATATGAATGCATAAACAGCAGCAGTAGCAGCAGCATCCAACGCACTTTTAACACGGTAAAAGACCGTCGTCCTCGTTCTCATGTATACACACTTGTTTTTCGACGTTTTTGTTTAACCTATACTATTGGATCTGGTTCCACCCTCAAAAGATGCCGCTCTTATGTACAGGTACACTTTTTCGTGAGAAGGAGAATATAAAGGGCGGAGAAGAAGGAAGGAAGGAACGACGTGACGGCTGGTTAGGGAGAAGGAGGAGTAGGACGAGGCGGTTCGGCGAGAGGGGCGCGGAGAAGATCGGTTGAGCGGTCGCGGCGTTTGGAAGGGGGGGGGGCTCGAAAAAGGGGAGGCCGGTGGAGATAGAAGGAGCGAGAGACACAGTAGAGATAAATACGAAAGATGCCATACTCCTTGGGCCCTTAATTCTCTTCCTTCTTTCTCTCTCTCTCTCTCTCTCTCTCTCTCTTTCATTCTCTCTCCTTTCGTCTTTGACCGTTCTCTTTCTCTCGTCCTTTCGGTCCCGCTCCTTCGGCGCTACTCTTATCTCGACCGCGCCGTCTCTCAGCCGCCATCCAAAGCTGGATAGTAGTGCAGCCGAGGATCGTCCCTTTTCCTCCCCCTCCCCCAAACCACTCTTTGCCGTCTACACCGTTTCGCCCCACTCTCCCGGATCCCACCAAGAAATTCCAAGCTTTTTACTCCCTAGTTTCCCCCGCCTCCCCATTTTCGTATTTCCTTCGACTACCGGAGATAACGATCGCGCGCTCGATGAACGATCGAAATCGCGCTCCTTGGGCCCCTTTTCCGCGCTCTCTATCAGGCTCACGATTTCGCGAACGTCCTCCCGATATAGCGACACGAGGGGTAATTAAGGAAGAGTTTCGATCTGCCACGCGATCGAAGGACGCAACTTTCGAGCATTGGAAAGAGGGGATGCTTACGCCGCTAGTCGGGGGTCAACGACCCGCTAAAATAGCGCCTTGCAATAAAAGCGAGCGCGAGAGGGAATTCGCAACTAGCACTCACTCCCTCTATTTTCCATTAATTTCAAATTTGCGACGCGTCTGTTGTTGAAGCAAAGCGATTCTCGGCCCGAGGAGCGCGCGATCGTAACTCGAATCGTATTGCGGCCGGCCGGTCGATCGTACTCTCCTCACTTACAGCTCACCTCCGCCCGCCCTCAGCCTACCGGACAAATGTCCCCGGTGCCGAGCCAATAGCTAATCACTTTTTCTTATAAAACAACTACGCCAACGGCCTGGTAAGTTCGCGCGGTCCGCGACTCGCGATCCGCGGCGTCGCGGATGAGCGGCGACCTACGTCGATTTATCAAGTGCAGCTGCAATTAAAGAAGTGGCTGGCGCCTGCGCCTCTTGGGGGAATGGGACGAGGAGTCGCGCAACCGAGCGGCGTTAATGCCAGCAACCGGAACGGAATGCCGGGAACCGGTTGCAGCCGCGCGGCCGAGCGTTCCGCTCTGTCGGCGAGATTTTTGACGAATGCGCGCGTACCCGCGACTACCACCGCCGACTATTACCGTCCGATCGATCACCCCCTAAGGGGTCCGGAGTTATGGTTCCGCTACACGTGTGTTTGTATACCAGTGTGTTTGCACTGTGCGTTGCACAGTGTGTTCCACGCTGACGCGCGTATCGGGCATTTATCAAACTGCCCGTTGTCCTTCTTCGTCCCCTCCCCGTTGTGCCGCCGCCCCTCTTTCGCTGCCGGAGACTGACGGCTCAGCCGTGTGTTGGAGCGTTGACTCGCGCGCGCACGTACGTATGTAAAGTGGGTTTGCGCATCGGCGGGCGGCCGATCTGGCGACTTGTCGGATTAATGTTCCCTGACTTTGTGCTTTATTTCTCTCTTCGGCCGAGATGCAGAGACAGCGAAAGAAAGTGGATGAGGAAGAGATGGAGGAGATGTGATGTAGGTTGGGTTAGGGATTGGAAGGGCGGGAGGGAGCAAGGGATGGAGAGAGGGATGGAGGGGAGAGGAAGAAAGTACTGCTTTTTATCACGCTTAGCGATCGTCGGACCGAATGTACGCTTCGGGGCGATTTCGTGAAAAGGATCTTTTCTGTACTTTCGATTCAACTTGCGTCGAACATTGCGAGTACCTTCGTTTAAAAATTAAGGCTCTCTCGTTTGGATGTATTTCGAAGTTGTTTTTGTTATTGAGACGAATAAAATTTTACGTGATCGGAAATCACCCGTTGTATTCATTAAAGCAAAAAATTGTGTTACAAAATTGTTTTAACCAATACATTATGATCGCCTGCTTAAGTGATCATTTAAAAGGGACTTTGCGTTGTGTAAAGTAAACTAACAAAAAGTAAATCTGTTTAATGATCGAGGGAAAATACAAATTGCCGTATTAAGTGAGATTGTGAAAATATAGTTTGCGTTGCCGAGGCAGCAAATTCAACAGTTACAGTCATTAGTAATCAAAGCTTTAGGAATGAATAACAGTGAATTAGTCGGTTTGTTTATGGTAGACGATGGTCGCAGCAGCTTCGTTTCGTCAAAAATTTTTGCTCTCCGCGGGAGAGCAATGCGAACAAAGGATAGAGAGGAATCCTTAACGCGAGAGCAGCCAACACCTGCTGTTTGCAGCATTGTCTTTCCCTTTCTGCCT